GGTTCTAATCCTGTTCGCTGCGATTATTTTAGAATATTTCGTAAGTTTTGTTAAGGTAGTGAGATCTGTGAGGGTGGCGGGCAAATTACGACGCTGTCCAGTCTCCTCAACAATTATGTTACCACTTGGAAGTAGACGCCAGCATTAGGAGCCTTGTGTCGGTAGCGATGTCCGAGTTATTAGGGAGTTGGACTTGAAGTCTAATGGGAATTGATCGCGCAGGTTGAAGTCCTGTTCGCTGCGATTATTTTAGAATATTTCATAAGTTTCGTTAAGGTAAAGAGCTCTGTGAGCCTTGTGGAGAACTGGTGAGGCTGCGCAGTTACGTCGAAGATTACGTCATCTCTATAGAAGTAGAGGAGAAGATTAGGAGCCTCCTGATCCTCTCTGTCGCCATCGGCAGCGATGTATGAGTGGTTAAGAAGTTTTACTTGAAGTCCAGTAGGCGTGGCCCGCGCATTTTTGAATCGTGTTCGCTGGGATCATTTTAGAATATTTGGTAAGCGTCGTTACAGTGAAGAGGTCTCTGATCGTCGGGGGGCAAATGACGACGCTGCGGAGCTAACTCAAAAGTTGTGTCAAACTTTGCTTGTGCAAGTTCAATTATTGATGGCTCTGGTCATTTTCTAATATTTGATGAGCGTCGTTGAACTGAAAAGCGATTTATGCGCTAGCGGGAAGTGAGGCTTTTGTATTGTTTCCTAGATTTTTGTGTCATCCTTGTGAGCTCTGTTGTGCTCACTGTAAAGTTGTTGCTCGTCTTGCTGGTTTGGGTACCGAGGTGTAATTGTTTGATTGGTTGTGTTATAAATCGTTTTGTAAAAGTATTTGCGAATTACTGTCGTAGATTGCTACATTAAGAGGAATAATTTGTTTGACTGTGCCGGTGAAAAACAGCGTATGAGACAAGAGTGAAAAATGTGGCGTTTCAATAATTATAAAAGGAGGATTTTGATCTGAAGTGGTGAGTGGTAGCTTTTTGTAATATATTTTCGGTGTTGAAGGAGCAGGTGCCTGTGCTTTAGACATCTTTTTTTTTACTCTTAATATTAGTTGATGTTTAGTTTCTGGTCTGGAAAATTAGTTAACTCAGTAAGGACGCTTTTGCTTTAAAAGTGAAGAGTTCACATCGGTGTCACGTTGTTGTCTGTAATGCAGAAAAGTTCTGTCCGAGATGAGTAAATAATGCTGAAAGTTGTTTGCTTAATACAAAGTTACGTTGAGCTTTGTTATATAGAAGGCAAGACATGAAAATGGTCTGTGTAAGAAAAGCTTGTGCTGGTTTATCGGGATTTTTTTTTAAGATACATTATTACATCAAATTCCAATGGGCAGCTACGATGATGTAAATTTTTGCTGTTGTGAGAAGCTAAAACGACTGCCGAGAGGAGAACAGAATGAGTTCTTGTGTTATTTTAATGTTTAGTGTTTGTTGGTACTGAACCTTAGATCCTTGTTTAATGGCAATTTGAAGAGTACTATGCAATGCAAAAACAAGTTTGTTTTGCATCTTTCAAGAAGTGTTAGATATTATTCGCTTTTTGAGACGCAGCGAAAATGACTTTGAACCAAATTACCAGCAATGCACATTATCTAGTTATCTAGCTTCAGTCCCATATATGACACTGCACCTTGTTTGTTTAGAAGCACCTGTTTTTTTTTTTTTTTTTTT